GCACGCCAAACTCGCAAGAGCGGACGAGCGAGACAACTGCCAGAGCCATGCATGTCTGAACTCTGTCGTCCAGCTCTGCAGGTCGAGACAAAACGAAACCCCTTCCTCCAAGCTCTGGGTGGTAGTGGTGACCGCAAGCGTTTCCATGCCCAAGTGAATTTTCCTGGCAAGGAAGCACCTGTCAACATGGAAAATACATACCGTACGCGTTGAAGCATCGGCGGTTGAGACTGTCGTTTCAAGCAGACAGTGGCTCGTTTCTGTCGAAATGATTGAGTCACCCTCGATCAATCAACCGCCACCTGGCCTGGGCTTTGCCTCGCGCCTGCAGTAGGTGCGAGCCGTTGGCTCCTACTACCTCCCAGACGTTCTCGGCCAAGGTCATTGCCTGCGAAGCGTCTTGGTAATTGTCTTTGACCTATGTGAAGCTTCCTGCCAGGCACAGACGCCAACAACGGTGCTGATGCCGATGACCGCCAGCAATGATAAGTGTAGCGAATGAGAAGCAACGGCTGCGGCGGCGTGGTCTAGGAAGGACACGGTAGATATCCGGCTGGAATACTGACTGTACTCGAAAACGGAACGCCGGTCGTTTATTCAACTTCTCGGCCGCACTCCACCTTTGCCGTTGTCCTGCAATCTTGTTCGATGCCGCTCAAGATCCAGTCGGACATGATCTGATCCTCTGACCAACCTTGACCCAGTGTGCTTACTTCAGCATCGAGAAATTGAGCGATGGCCTGGTGTGGTGCTTGGATGCATCGTCTGTGAACAGGCTTGTTCGAGTTTTGCAAAAGCCCAGCAGAGCAGCCCAGGGCCACGGGCATGGGCGCATCAATCATGGTAATTGAGTGCTCCCTGGCAAATCTCGAGATCAATGCGTAAATGGAATGGAAAAGCAACATGAGCTGCAAAAAATCGTGGTGCTCGGGGTATCCGCACTCCCGCTGTGCAACAACTTCATGCTTTGCTCCAGCGGCCCCATTTGTTCTCGAATACACTTAAATAGCCTGCACCACAGGGCTGAAGTGTCTGTCAACCATATGGAGTTTGTGCGTTGCATAGCAAAGAGTATTCGCAGTCAGGAGCAAATTGCTTGCGACGGGGCGTCTCCTTGTTCGTTATGCTGGCGGGTCCTGGCTTGTTTCGATGGTTGCTGACGGGAATCCTTCCCTTCATTTCCAAAGCATGAGCTCCCATCCGTACGAATAGGTTACGATGCGGAGTACGGTAAATTACCTGGAGCTTTCCGTTGGCCTTCCCCAGCCAGAGAGGCCTGCATCATCTCACCGCAATTCAAGCCGGCTCTTTGTATGTCAAAGGTGCCCGCCGTATGATACAAGCTGAGAGCCGCACCGCAGCAGTATCTGCATGCGTACTCTGGATTCGTTTATACTTGTACTTGTGCTGGCTTGGTTGGACCTGATATGCCGCATCAGTAGCTTTACGAACTTGATCTCGTCTCGCATACTCAAGCCTCCTGCTAGATTGCTAGATTGCTAGCATGCGAGCACATCATATCTCATCGGCAGGGGCGCCGGAAAGTTGTAGGGGCCGCAACGCCGCCGCCGCATCGCCGCGAGAAGCGATCATGGCCCATTAGCAAGCATGCTAGTCTGTTAGCCTGCTAGCGTCGTTTCCACCTCACCCCCGTTGTCGTTGCTAACAAGAACCCGTCTGTAGCCTGTGAGAATCTCGTGTGTGCGTGTCGTCCTTGTTCTGCTTGCTACTCGCGCTCGAGTAGGTACTGAGTAGCTGCCGCCGCCACCTGTGGTGCGAGAAGTACATGTACGAAGTGGGCCGCTCATAGTGTTGCCCCTTTGCATGTAAGTGCTCGTGCACCCCACGTACAACATACCTCGAATGTCTCTCCATTGCCCGCCTCTTGTGCCACTGGCGACCCGTTGGTCGTTGACCGACGACTTGTCATGTGGACCCCTGACTGATCTCTCGCCGTGGACTAAATATAGTGTGAAAAAGCGAGCTAAGGCTCAAAGTCAAAGGACGAGCAGAAAGGGCGAGTATGTATGGAAGAATGAAGGAGTAAAGAAGGGAAGCTCGAGTGAGGTCATGAACATTGTAATACCGACAAGCCTCAAGATCAGATCAGATCGGAGGCTGGGCTCTAGCCAACGTCATAAGCGCTGTCAACAGCGGTCGGTCGAATGAATCAATCGGGCAGGTCGGGGTGCAGCCTAGTGAGCGTACGGATAGGCGATTGTATCCTTACTATGTGCGTGTGCGGTACGGATATTACTGTTGTGAATACAGAGTATAGCGCGCGTGTGTCTGAAGTCAACGGTCGATTGCCTGAGCGGCATCGAGAGTGACTCCTGAAGACCATGGGTAAGACACAATTACACGGCACATCTGCCTTCTTTCTGCAAGGCGTCGAGGTTCGGATATAAATCACGTCTTCCGGGTTTATTGGTAGGGTGTTGCTGATGTCGCCAAGCTGCGGAGTCCATCACGAACGGCTTCTTCCCCTCCATCTCATGTCTCCCTTGTCGGTGACCACCCGGACGCCTAGGCCTTTCGGATCAAGTGCGGCGGCGGCAACAACTCCAGTATTCTCCAGTCTCCCGCCGAACGAATTGGCATTGTCTCTTGCTCGTGGGGTGGGAGGCGGAGGGTGGACAGAGCAGGCTTGTGAAGTGGCCCTGCAATTTTTTTCCCTGTCGAAAACAGGGGACGCCATCCCTTCCGATATGCAGGTAGCATTACCTCACCATCTCTAGCATGGCAAAGCCACCATGGTGGGGTACTTTGTCAAGTTGAATACGGAGAAGCGTTCCCTTCTGCCCCTTCGTATCCGCCGATTATCACACGTAACCGGTGACTGACGACTGCACTCGCGCCGCAGCCTGCACTGCAGAAGGGGGAGAGACAGCTCCAGAGACAAGATTGAGGCGAACCAGATGGTGATTGGCCGGAAGTGTTGGCGAGGCATGTTGTTGTACCGCCGTGGCGGTCTGTTGTCTAGTCCGCCGAGAGCTGCATCGACAAGCCAGGTAGATACTCTAGCTGGTGAATCCAGAGACGGTCCAGAAAAGTGCGAAAGAATCTAAGTAGGTAGTATACATGCGTTCCTTGGTGGGATCTGTTGATGGGCTGATGACATTGGTCGAGCCGAAGAATCTGCATTTCGTCCCATCGTGTACGTAGTAGGACTCTGGAGCCTAGTAGGTTTGGGTATGGGTGTGTGCATCAATCCCGAAGAACTGGCTCTCTGCTGGATTTCAGCACTTGGGGACTTGCTTGGGTAGCCTGTACATCCATACTGCGTCCAGTGCTGTCGTGTACCAAGCGTAAGGGTCCTCTGGCGAGGGAGGCTGAAGAGGCGTACGGCTACCGTGAAGACTCGACAGTGTGAGGTCAGACAACCTAGCACGGGCGAGCTTTGGAGCGCGAACGTTGAGGTGTTTCGTTTCCGCCTCCTTGGACGTTTGTTTGACGCGCGATGGATCGACGTTGCGCGTTGAACAAGTCTCCGAAGCGGTGTTGCATCTTTGGGTCTTTGAGTTTTTGGTTTGAAGCTCGAGCATCCCATCTTTCTCATCTGACAGTGCCCGGACCTCTGCCCGGTGCCGCGTGGGAATGGCGGTTGCAGGTAACGGTATTGTTCTTGCATGTACAAGAATTGAGATGATCATGTTGAGCGTGCTGCTAGGTATTCAAAAGTTGTAGGGAGTATGAGGTGGTCGTATCTGCAGCGCTCTTGCTTTGGCACCTGTGCCCATCCATCTCTTTGGCGATGCTGAAGCCTCAAGGGGTAGCTTACGTGCCTACCTACCCGTACGCTACGTTTACGAAGTAGCAGTGAATAGGTAGGGACGGGCGCGACATTGGTGGACCGGCACGGTAAGTGGTGCATTGAATGTTGTGGTTGTGTTTTTGTTGTTTCCCGAATCCCTTGGGGCTTCCTCATTCGGGACACCAGGCACACAGGAAGGAGGCACTCGTGGCATTCTGAGCGCGGCGAGCATTTCCAGTCACCCAGGAGCAAGGGGTAGCGTGGTCGTGATTCGCCGCTCTTCGTTCACCCACCCAATGACAGATTGCCAAAATTCTCCAAGCCACCCACTGCGTAGGAATACGTCCTCACGTCCATCCTAAGAGACCAAGGGACGCGTCCTGACCTTTCCTGTTTGGGTTATTTTCGGAGGGGATTTGGGGGGTCCGCCCTGTGTGCAGGTATTATGGAGAAGGAAGAGAATAACAAGTGGAAGGGTAAAAGGTACAGTCTCACACATGGCTGCTTAACCTCGATTCCTACATACCTTCCAGAGTACATTGATACATGGAAGAAGCTCTCCTGAGTCCACAGCAACTGAGCCTCTCATCAGCCAAGTCCCCGATAGGTACGTTGATGGCCAGCCTTGTGATATCTTAACTGAGATCACGATGAAGCAAGCACAACTGACGCTTTACCCATCATGTTGACATAGTCTATTCTGTGTAGACTGCCCATGCTTTTATTCCTAGAAGCAGGCACTGTAGGAAGTTGAGGGTCAAATTGTGAAAAGGCAGCGAGCATATACGTCTGCGACTGAAATGTTCCTCAACGTACTACGGATGGATAGGAGAGAAAAGTATCCGTACATTGGACCGCACTTGCAGGACTAGACTGGACCAGTCAGATACGATGGCGTTGGGCCGGGGTACCCAGTCTGCCGCAACGAAAACACAGGGTACATGGGATCAAGGGTAGGGGACCTGCCTAGGATCAAGGCCGTGGTGGATTGTGCATTTACAAGCAAGCGCATGTATCTCTATCTGCATGAATGGGCGGCGTGGGTACTTTGATGATCCATTTCCTGCACTAGGTACGGAGTACTGTGTACGCAGTATGGTCTCCAGGAAAGTGGAACTCCATCGTCGCCTGGCTCCAGCAGACCAATGCAGCACCATGGGCCATCGGTACGATACCAAAAACCTTCCCATTTGGCAATCTCCATTTCGACCCTTCACTGCCTGCGCCTACCCACCCCGAACCGCCATTTTGCCTGAGAGAAACCTCCTTCTCCTCCTCCTCTCCTCCTAGGAATTCCCTCTCACCACACCCGACTTGCTCTCTCTGTATCCCCTCAAAAAAATATCCCATCTCTTCTCTTCCCTTTCGTTCCCCCTTCTTCCTTCTATTCTTCCCCCATCCGCCGCCTCTCTGCCCCCAATTGCACCGTCGTTCCCCTAAATCCCAACCCACATCACCAACGTACCCCCTTTTCCCTCCCCAAACAATTAACGGAATCCCCAAGAGGTTGCCTGACTCTCAGGGTCCCCTTCCCGACTTGGATCCATCTTCTCTTCCCCCGTCTCTTCGTTGCCAACCCCGAATCGCACTTTGCATCTCCGTTACTGCCGCCTTGTTTCCTTTCCACGTGTCGCCCGTTCGTCCTTCCGAGAACAAGGAAGAAAAGAAAGCAACCGAAAAAAAACAGACAAACACAAACCGCACTCTCTCCACGCTGATCGACTGCAACTTCTTCTTTTTGTGACCCGAGATCTCGATACACCCTCCATCTCAAAACCCGAACACAAGACGAGCTTCAGGTTTGCGTGGCTGACTCGTCACCACCTCATCCCGTCCCCGACGATTCTCTAGCTACGATTTCGAGCCGGATACGAGTGCTTCACATCCCCATGTTCCCGGTCGACCGCTAGCTTTGCTTCGAGTTGTCTCGGTGACACTTGATCCTGCCTCCCTTTGGTCGATTTCTACATCGTCCCGTACGAGTGCTCTCCAACAGCCCCTTCGCAGTAGACGCGAACCATCATCTTTATTCTCAGTACGACGATACTCTCACTGTAACCCCTGGCCGCAGGCGACCTTTGTTTCCACAATCGCTATCTGTTTCCAATCACAGCCTCCTTCTTTCTAGGAAGAAGTCAGTCGTTTTTGGGACAGAAAACCATTCTTCCATTTCCTACCTTCGTATAAAAGAGAAAGCAAAAAAAAGGTTCGTTAGATTCGTACCTCGACTCGACTCTGATCGTTGCCAGCGGCCGATTTCCTGTCGTGTCATACGTATGACAGTAGCCAGTCATCCGCTTGGCCTGCTGAGAGTCTGATGCTGACATCAAGCTCGAGTGGAAAGAGCCTTGCTAACTTGCCTGCCTCATACAGTATTCTGCAGATCCGGCCAGCAAACCGCTCGGCTTCGTTATCACCTGTCTTCGCCCTCCCTTGGAGTAAGACAATCTAGCCGTACTTCAAACTCGAGCCACTTGCCCGAACATAGGACCGGTGAAGGACTGCTTGTTCGCCACTATTTCCTCTCGACGGCTCCTTGGAATATGGCCGCGCTGGTTCAAACGTACCCCCAGCAGACCACCACTGTTACCACTCTCCAGTCGAGACCCTCAGGCAACATGGTCCCAACACAGGCCCAGGCGAACCAGCAATATATGGCTGCTCAACAGTCGCAGAGGAACTTCTCAGGTTCCGCCGTGTATCGCGGTAGCAATGCCCCAATTCAGCCTTACGCTTTCACCAGCACCCCGAGTTTGAACACCAACAACCAGTGGCAGCAATATGGCAACGGATATCGCACGGCATCTTCACCTGCGGTGCCGACGCAAGGCGCGCGTCACGGAGGAAGCTCTTCAGTATCAAACGCTGGCTACAACCACGGCATGGGGACTAGCAAAGGAGGTTCGAGGGACGATTCGGGCATTCCTACTGCTCGCACAAATTCACAGGCCCCGAGGCCTCAGTCGGCGTATTTGGCAGGCAACACGACACAGCAAATGACATTCGCTCAGACCGCTGGGACTAAGACGACGCCTGATAGGTACCGGCGCCCGGCTCTCCAGCAACAACAACCTCGCCAGACTAGCGCCCCGTCAGGCTCAGGCATGGCGACTGTTAGTCATTTGTATAATGATGAGCAAAAGAACGCGTCAGTGCGAGGCCGGAACCCGTCTTTCCAGAGCAGACCAAACAGTTATTATGGTGCGGTTGATGACATGCAATTAAGTCAACAACAAAGTGTGGAAGACAGCAAGCGACTCAGGCGGCGCAGCATGCACTCGCTTGATTCTGCCGATTATCCCAAGCCGCTAACCCCACAGGAATTCTCTCACCCGGAAGATTCCTCCCGTTCCGACCGCGTGCCAACTCCCAAAAACAGCGAAAAGACACTTCGCATCGTCTCCAGTCTCGCACCTCCCGCCGACAACAACATGCATGTCCGCAATGGCAGCGCTGAAAGCCTTGCATCAAGCCGCAGCAGCCATTCCAGACCATCTTCGGTAAGTCGTCACTCCCGGTTTTTGCGGTGTCGCTGGAGGCGCTCTGTCTCCGCCTCATCCCTTCATTCGATTGCCCAATCACGCACTGGCCCAGCCATCCTCAAGTGTTCCATCGCTAACAAGGTTATTTCCACCAGTCTGCCAACCGCAGCGTACCCACCCCCACGGGCAACCCCTCTTCCTCTTCAACTCCTTCACACTTGGATGATGGCTCTTCGAAGCAAGATTATCCTAAAATCGTGAATATTCCTCCACGTAGCTCATCGTCAGATGCGGCCAAGAGGCAGTCTACTCCCTCTCCTCTCTCAAAGCCGGTGACCATGGCGACCGACTCGAGTCCCCAAAAACCACCTTCCTCTCTGGGCAATGCTCCGCAACAGGCCTTGTCTCAGAGCACGACTGCGTCCAACAGCAACAACGCTAGCAGCCCCGCAGCCCAGCATTTGGCTGCGATTAGCCAGAAGAGTACAAAATCCAAGAGCAAGACATCGCGGTTGCGCAGAGCCTTCTCGTTTGGTAGCGCGGCCGATTTCAAAAAGGCCTCCGGACCTGAACCTACTATCGACGAAAATAGTGTGTCTGATCCTACCAGATTGCACAAGGAGCCGACAGCGGCCGAAATTTACGATGCGGAACAGGCCGCCATCGCGAAGAAGCAGGAGGAAGGGGGTATCGGGAACAACATCTATGGCGGAAGGCTATTCTCCAGCTCGACCGACAACCTCTCCATTTCGTCCACCGCATCATCTGCCTCAATCATGATCCGTAAGATGGGTCGTGGCATGAAAAAGAGTACTCGTAACCTCGTTGGTCTCTTCCGGCCAAAGTCCGTCATTGGCGTTCCGGCAGCAGATGCGCTGGCCCCAGAAGCCAGCCAGGCTGCCGTGTCCATGGTTACCGTTGAAGCCGAGAGAGTCAATGTTAACGCTGATCCTCATGCACAGAACGGCGGCGGCACTGGATTTCCTCATCTGGAACGCAACTCCTTGGATATTTCGAACACCCCTAGCATGGTTTCGGAACGTGCTGGAAGTTCAGGTACCGACAGCGCGAGGCGAAAAAGCATTGTCGATGGTGACAAGGAGCGTGCCGAGGTGCTTGCTGCTGTCAGGAAAGGCATTCTGAAGCACAACAGATCAGGCAGCCCTGCTCGCGACCCGCGATCCAACTTCGAGTTGCCCGCGATCCCGAATGTCGCTGATTCTCCCATCTCGACCGCACCCAGCACGCCAAATGATGACGCTCAGGGCCATAAGCGTTCCGGATCTGTCGCCATCGGTAACGAAGACTATTTCATGACTGCTTTGAGGCTTCGCCAGGACACCAAGAGTGCCCCAGGTACGCCTTCAGGCTCCGCCAAGAGGAATGCAACTTTCTCGCCGAGAATCGTCTTCCACGACACTTGGCCTAGCGGCGAATATGATCGTAGGGGCGAAATTGCTACCTGCAATCGCCTAACGCCGATGCTAGCCCAGCAGATCAAAGAGGAGCTCAACACATTCAAGATGGTACATGCTGATCTTGACATCACAGATGGATGCATCGCTAACTGCTTACAGGAAATGGAAGTTCACGAAAACTCCAAGATTTACACGCACTTCTTCTAACGACGGCTACGCCTGCAAGACGGAATCTCACCACTTTTGCTTCTTGATGACGGGCACCAAACCCTCAATCATGTATTTGAACTACATTTACCATTCGACGGCGTTCAGGAACAGCATCGTACGGTGTCAGGGCGTTCACTATCGTCACTCGACAGCATTTTTCTTGCCTGACTGAGAAGCCTTGCCCGGCCGCCCTTTGTCGATTAATTCTTTTTTTTATTTTACTATTTTCACAATGGGCGGGAGGTATACGAAGACGGCGGCCGGACGGGACAGCCTTGCAGCAGGCCAGTCAGTGCAGATTACGGGCCGATGGCCTCTTTGCATTTGAGCAGCAATCACACGGACCTCAGGACATGATGGCGATAATAGCGGTGACCTCTTACACTTTTTCAGATGGGCCCAAGTCCTCTGACGACTTAGATGCGGATTTCTGAAAAGATGGCATCACTCACTCACACACATACACACACTTGACACTCGATTGAGGTTTAGTGTTTCGATATTTGTTTTGTAAGGGCTTAAAGGACTTTTCGTTACCTGTCGGTTCTCTTCGAGTTACGTCGCCTTCAAAGTTCGTCGGGTCATGAGGAGGCGGAATAGAGTGTGGCTTTTTTCTTCCAAAAGAACAGCTTAGTCTCAGCGAGGTCTCGGTGCTGGTATCGACCGCTCCAGCGAATTGAATAGTTTAGAGCGGACTAGGGCGAGTGCGTATAGTGAAAAGTTTGCATGTGAAAAGTCCCGTCCTACGCAAGCAATCCTTTGTTGGGTTGCGTGTGTCATGAATGGTCTGACACACCGTCTCAGTGCTAGAGCTAGATGAGCCTCGAGAAGCCGCAGTATCAGGTACCTGTCTCCGCAGAACGTTTCTCCTTGATCGGCGGGACGACGTCATTTGCTGTAGATGACAGTTCCCCTTTCCCTCACAGTTCCCTAGGTAGGTTCCATGCGTGGGGGAAACACTGGGCCCAATGACCCCACCCAATCAGGTAGAGTCTCCCATCTGGGGTTTCTCAGCCTCGCACTCTGTTAGTGTGCAAGGCTCACCCAAAAATTTCTGCCATCGCAAGCCAAGGCAAAGAGTTGCAGTAGACGTCAAGGCGAGATTCGGTCGAGCGTGCGATATCAAACTGGACCGCCAAGTCATCAGTTTTTTTTCTTCCCCTTCTCTTTTCTACAATTACAGTCGAAATTCTGGAGGGGTTTCTCAAGCTCTGGAGGCTCCGGACGTCTCAGACAACCCGGTTCGCCCGATTCTTGACCTCGACGAGAAGCATGGCGACAACGACAGAGGCCCCGACCGCGGGGCTTGAGGCTGGAACATCGGCACCGGCCGTGATCAGACCGAAGCTGCACGGGCGGGCATTCTATGAGAGCATCGGAAGTCCAAAGTACATACTCGCACCCATGGTGGATCAATCTGAATTTGTAGGTTTTTTTCCCTTTCTCTTCTCCCCCAAAAGCTTCGTGGAGCGGAGAGGCATTGTCTGGGAGCGGGATTGCTAAAGGCCTTCTATAGGCATGGCGAATGCTGAGCCGGTCGTTCATCCCAGCGTCCGAGCAGAAGAACCTGGTAGCCTACACACCCATGTTCCATGCGCGACTGTACAAAGACACAGAAAACTACCGCCAGTGTCATTTCCAAGCGGTCAGACCCGACGACTCGAACGATGCGACTGGCACCGCTGCGACTCCGACGAACCCGACTCCGACGACCAAGCCCTGGCTCGACGGCAACCCCGCCATCGACAGACCTCTCTTTGTGCAATTCTGCGCAAACGACCCCGATGCCCTCCTCGGCGCCGCCCTCAAGGTCGCGCCGTACTGCGACGCCGTGGACCTGAACCTGGGATGCCCGCAAGGCATCGCCAAGAAGGGAAAATACGGCGCCTTCTTGCAGGAGGACCAGGACCTCATCTTCAAGCTCATCAACACCCTGCACAAGAACTTGCCCATCCCCGTGACGGCCAAGATCCGCATCCTCGACACCAGGGCCGCGACGCTGGCGTACGCGCGCAACGTGCTCGCGGCGGGCGCGTCCATCCTTACGGTCCACGGTCGGCTGCGCGAGCAAAAGGGACACTTGACGGGCCTGGCGGACTGGGAGACCATTCGGTGGTTGAGGGGCCAGCTGCCGCCCGAGACGGTGCTCTTCGCGAACGGGAATATACTGCAGCATGCGGATTTACAGCGCGCTCTGGACGCCACAGGCGCGGATGGCGTGATGAGCGCCGAGGGAAACCTGAGTGACCCGGCCATCTTCAGCCGGCCGCCGGACCCGGGGACCGAGACGAGGGAGTACTGGCGCGGCAAGGACGGGAAGGGAGGGTACCGCGTCGACGCGGTGATGAGGCGGTACATGGACATCCTGCACAAGTACGCGGCGGGCCAGGACCCTCCCTCGCGGCGTGAGCTGTTCGTGCCCGGTGACGACACGGCGTGGATGGAGGAGATGGATCGCGCGGAGGCGGAGCAGGACGAGCCGGAGCGGAAGAAGAGGAGGCGGGACGTGACCAACGGACCCAAATCTGCCAAGAGCCGAGCGCTGAGCCCGAATTACTCTGCGATGCAACCGCATATGTTTCACCTGCTGCGGCACTTCGTGTCGAAGCACACCGATGTGCGGGACTTGTTGGCGCGGAGCCGGGCGGGCGATTTGGAGGCGTACGAGAGGATTTTGAGCATGGTGGAGAGGAAGGTTGCCGAGGGGCTGATTGAGTACGAGGCTCGAGGCGCGGAGATGTTTGCGGGTGACGAGGTGCTGGGTCCGGAGGCCGATGCCGCGGAGGTTGTGGAGGAGGACGGGGAGAGTTCGAGGGGCGCGGTGAAGAGGTGTAAGAGGCCTTGGTGGGTTGTGCAGCCGATTATTCGGCCTTTGCCCAAGGAGGCTATGGCGAAGGGGGCGGTGTCGTTGAGTAAGAAGGATAAGGCCAAGTTGAAGGCTGCTGGCAACGGGGAGGCGGCAAGGGAGGAGGGCAAGGAGGAGGATGTGAAGAAGAATGGGGAGAAGGAGGATCAGAGTGTCCAGGAAAAAGTTTTGGAGACTGATGATAAGTTGCTTGCCGGCTGAGGATCGCGAAGCGCTGGCCAAGCATAATTGAAAAATAGACAATTAGAATAATATACCCCTCTCTCCTGAGAATGACATACTCCTCTAAATGACAGTCTTGCTCTGCCAGATTGTTGGACTGAAGCATACATCAAGATGTGTTATTTTGAGGCCTTGCCCGTAAGTCACAAGTGGGGGAGGCCCTTTCGCCTCACCGGAGCTTCTGTTATCTTATTTAAATCGGCTACTCGCCTTTCGGTTCACCAATGACCCAGGCTAGGTGGTGGTTCTGGTCCATCATGGAGCTTTTGGGCTGCTGCTAGAACTCTGGGGGAGAAGATTCTCTGAGGTACGTTGAGAGACACCTTCGCCTCGGCAAAAGCGTAGAGCGAGAACTCGCTGACCATGCATATCCCTTGTTGCGCCTATACGTATACCACCCGGTATATGCTACAAAAGGTGGTCTTCGAGAGCGCAGGAGGTGCCAGGACGTGGCTAGGTGTGACCTCTGGGTACCCTGATAGCTTATTAAAGGTATCTAGTTGTGGTGCTCACTAACTTTTACCAGCATCCAGATTCCCCATCATGGGATATAAAAACTGCAATGCATATTCCCAGCGGCGGATGGGCAATCACGCCGGAAGTCGATTCTTATATTCCTTTCAGATGTGTCTGTGTGCCCTTTGCTTGAATGGCGAAGAAGAGTTTAGCGCAACTTAGTTGTTCAATTCAATGATGGTTACTACTCGGTCTTGTGTTGAGGAATCAATCCCCTTCGTTTTATAGCCCAAGTAAGTTCCTCCTCATTGCTTTATATAGTAGAGAAAGATGGCGTTTGAGTGCATTGAGAGAAATTCGTATTCTTGTTGAAGGCTTTTGTTTTTGTCAAAACCGCCAATCGTTAGTTTTAGGGGCGGGAGGATGGTGTCTCGTTTTGTACGGTTCTATCACCGCCCTTGCCTTTGCAAACCATGAGAATATTGAGTCAGGCTACCGCTACGTTAATGAAGAGCCAACCTGGCACATGGTGCTTGATGCCAGGCGAATAGGATTCGGTCTTGGGGCGACCTGACACGTTTGAGGAAGGTGTGCTTCAATGGTAAGCATGCCATGGAGATGCTCGATCACTGTTGATGTGGTGTCTGTCGTCTGGTTGGGTGTATGGCAAATTCTAACCATGAAAATGGTGTTTCAAAATCACAATAAACCAAGTCTACCTTGATCTTCGAACGATAGCTCCTCAGGCCTATCATTTGCGCCACATTATCAACTATGAGAATGATCCGTTCCTCGAAGCTCCTCTCCATCAGTCGAGTAGCCACGGCCCTCAGCCTTAGTCACTGGATCTAGATTGTTGGATAAGACTAGCTCCGGCCCTAACATAGAATCGACCATCCGGATCTTGACACGCTTAGCATGCTTTGAAATATCTCCCATCTCTCTGAGGTGCTCCCTAGCCTCTGCATCCAGCCCGTGAGTCAACCCCGCTAACGAGCTGCCCTTCCAGGCTGGGAGTCGCAGTCGCCTGGTCTCAAGCATCGAAAACAGACAAAAAAGACATCCGCCAAGGAGCACACCGAAAGGTAGTGACATGAATCCCCATCTTACACCTATGTGGACGACTGACTCGTAAGTTGTCCCATTGTGAGGTGTGATTTTCAGCGAAGCGTCACGCATCCACTTGGTCATCGCGAGGGCGGCTATCTCGAACGTAGCTGACAGGTTCTGTGATGTGCCAAGTGCTGTGATCACAGAAGGCTGGACAAGCTGAAATGGTTCAAAAGTTGGATAGATGAGCTGCTTCGATTCGAACGGGGGAGAACGCCTGGAAAACTTCTCCACGAACGCGTTCGACAGAGTCGCCGCGGCTGCGTGGGATATATTGAACCATAGGTTGTCCTTGTCTATCAGTGCGGTGATGCTGCTGTTGTCGGACGGCAGGTTGAGCTGTAGATCCGTTCGCTCCATTTCTCCGAAAAGGCGAAAGTCGAGCGTGTAATTGTGCATCTTATTCCAGTTTTTGAACGAATCTATTTGGCCTCCCCAATCTGAATCCTGTAATTTTGAGCCAACATAGGAGTCGAGGTTTCGGATCGAATATGAGCCAAGCACCTCTTCGCTCAGAACACCTTTGTTGACATTCGAGCGATAAATATTCGTGCAGAAGGACAAGGCACACTCAAGAGCGGTAGCTTCGCCGGATTGCCTTTTGCTTCCTGGGGTGCTGGGCTTTACACTCATCATGGCGAATGAGACAAGCAAAGCCCTTGAGTCTTGGAACGACAGCGTACTCCCGGGCTGCGTTGTAGACTGGCATGTAAGCTCAACCTGCAGTCCGATGCCATCGTCAAAGTTAGAAATAGACAAATTCATCGTCGGAAGTTCGAATTTCGTAAATGGATGCTTGAGCATGGAGATATTAGTAAAGTTGTGAGCGGTGACAGCTGGGTCAAGAGTATGAGCATGACCTGTGGATTCTACCAAGTGGCTTGAAATATCATTGCACGCGCTGCAAACTGCCAACGAGGCATGAGGGGCCCAGGTGCAGTTCCCTGTTGCACAAGTGAAAGCGGGTTGCTGATTGCTCTGGGAGCTGAGATTGTTGAAAGCTGTCCAGATCGCGGAGAGTGAGCCGAAGTCATATTCGAGGTAAGCAGTTTCGGTCCAGACGAAGCTCGTCGAAAGCGGCATTAGAATGCGATCAACCACTGGCTCACTGATTGCTATCTTGCCAGCGTCGAGTCTTTTAACTCGACCAATATGTGCCACCACGCCTATCCCGGCCGACTCGACTTCCTTCTCGTAGAGTTCGACGACCGCCTGGAGGAAAGGTTCGAATCCGAGCAAGACAATCGTTGCCAGAGCACCGAAACACACCCAGTGCCTGTGGACAATGTTCAGCCGAGTACACTGCATCGTAATGGGCATCAAAGTAGGTAGGTACCTGTGCTTGATACGCCACAGAAGACGGACGCTTCCCAAAGGGCCACGTCCTGCTTCCTCAAACCGGTCGTAACTTATCACATAATCATCCTTACGCCTAAACCAGTTCCATTTCTCCTGGCTCAAACAAGCGCCAATGGCAAATGCGAGTGTAGTCCGAGATATCGTGCCCAGGAAGGAGATGATCGTGTTGAAGGTGAGGAAGAAGGACCATGTCGACAAGGGCTTCCCGTCGTACGCCAGTAGAAGGGCAGCGACCGTGACCAAAGCTGTAATACTCAGAACAAGAGCGCAAATCTCTAGTGTCCAACCGCACCCGCTGGAGCTGCCCTTTGAATATTGGCTCTTGGTCCTGTCCGAGGTGAGGCTGTTTGTCTCGGTTGTAGGCTCGTTGACGGTGTCGGTGTTCGAAGCCAAACATGAAGTCTGGGGTTGGTATAGAGCCCCATGGCCTACACTGATCGAAGTCCGCGGCATCATTGAGGCATCTGTAATGTCTGGGACGGGCTTTCGTGGTATCGCCATCATGGTTGTTGGCTCGAGAACGTTGTAGACGGCCGTCGAGTGAAAGATACACTCAGTATATATGCAGGCTGCCAAGTGGGTGACAAGATCGATTTCCGCTCGAAATATGCGACAAGCAGTTTCGCCGCTATTGCCACTAGCATTGATATCTATTAAGCAGAGTATATTTCTCTACGTATATACCTAAGAAGGACGCTAATATTGAAAGGTAGTAATTATGATATGAGAAGTGATAGGGGTACTTATCAAGATGAAGAGCAGGAAATCGATTTTGTCACCCACTTGGCTGCCTCACTGGATGGGGGACTGACCCAGTGCTACACCGAGAAATGTTGAGGGCAGCTTTCACGTCAGTGGAAGTATTTGTGCCTCTATAGAGCATCGCCGGTCACATGGCTGTGAGCTTCGGGTGAGACAGAATGCGGTAGCGAAAAGAAAATGGTTGGGCTTTTTTGACTGTAGCTCTGACATGGTAGGACTTGGTATCGAGACCGAGACTCGGCTTCTCACAAGTGACACAGGTACTCGCTATACGAATGGGCATCACTACCTTCGGGCGGTTTTGTTCAACGTTTGTGCTGTCGAGAGCAAGCAATAGGCAGCACCTACTTTGGCTGAGTGATTGGTCGGCCGAAGTAGCACACTGACTTGGAAGCTAGGCTTTGCTACACGGAGCTCGGTAAGAACGCGCAGATAATCGGCTCGATGAGTTGTTCATGACATGATTACGGAGTACTCACTGCCTATTTCTTGCATCGTGTCCTGTCCCACCAAGGTAGCCCGACCTGATACGGACAGATTCGTGGAATCACAGCTATCCAGGAGTCGAGCATATTGGTTGGTGGCGGTTCCCTGGATTTGGCGGACGACAGCACTCTCCAGCTTGCGGTGAACGTCGAAATGTGTCAATTGTATGTTACATGAATATTTCTAGCTTAGTATTAGAACAATCAATATCGACTTGTCCAAAAATGCAAAAGAATTAGATACTGTGACCGCGGCAGGGTTCGAACCTGCGACCTCCTCGGAGTTCAAGTGTTCACATTGTGAACGAGGAATCATAACCACTAGAACACACAGCCGGATTTGTTGAAAGATGGTGCCAGTTGAGAGCTCTAGTATCGTTAGAGTCGCCTTGGCAGCGAAATCCACCTGATTCCCTCTCAGAAGGCTTCGTGCCGCATCGAAAAGGAGATCCTGTAAAGATTGTCGAAACCCAAAATGTCTGATTCTTTGTTTCTGTTTCAGAAAGTGAATGGTTCTCTGTTTTCTCAGCATTAGCTCGAAGGCCTGAGTTTGGAATTGCATCTGGGTCAATGCTGGCTAAGACTGGACCGAAGGAAGTACCGGCTTAACACCTCATACGAACGTCCCTGCAAATTTTTACTCGCAGATCGAGGAAATGGTATTGAAATATAATGAAGATTCGAAGAACGGTCTCGAGGAATAGGAAATTGAATTGACCACTCCAATTGACCGGATCCAAGGTGTGTAACCTAGCCTGAAACCTCACAACGAGAGAACGGCAGTTAGCCTTGCACCGACATCGCAACCCCACCATCCACACAAAATTGAACAGGAGGGGTCAAGCAGTGACGCAGCCGTGGAACTCGAGTTGGTAGAACTTCTTCAAACCACTAGAGTATACACCATCACACATACCAAAATGACACGCTTTCGTCCCTGTATAGACCTGCACGCCGGTCAGGTGAAGCAAATCGTCGGCGGCACCCTCGACAGCACAACAGCGGAGCTCAAGACCAACTTTGTCTCGACGCACCCGCCGGCGCACTTTGCGCGGCTGTACAAAGACAATGAGCTCACGGGCGCCCATGTCATCATGCTGGGGCCCGGCAACACCGAGGCCGCGCGGGAGTCGCTAAAGGCGTGGCCCGGCGGGTTGCAGGTTGGGGGAGGCATCAACGACACGAACGCAAAGGAGTGGGTTGACGCCGGCGCGGAGAAGGTCATCATCACGTCGTACCTCTTTCCCGAGGGACGGTTCAGTCAGGAGAGGCTGGATGCGGTGCTGCAGGCGTTGGAAGGCGACAGGGACAAGCTTGTCATTGACCTTAGCTGCCGGCGGCGCGGAGATGACAGGTGGTTTGTGGCCATGAACAAGTGGCAGACGATCACAGACATGGAGGTCAATCAAGGTATGTTTCTAGCGGCACGGTTTGATGGACACGAAGTGCGTGGATGTCACATGGCTGGCTGACTGACTGTGTGTTGCAGAATCCATCAAGCAACTGGAGCCCTATTGCTCAGAGTTCCTCATCCACGCAGCAGACAACGAGGGTCTGCAAAAGGGCATCGACGAGAAGCTGGTGGAGAGACTGGCCGAGTGGTGCAGTCTGCCTGTGACGTACGCCGGCGGCGGCAGGAACCTGGAGGATCTGGAGATGGTGAAGAAGCTGAGCAAGGGCAAGGTGGACCTGACAATTGGTAGCGCGCTGGACTGTTTCGGCGGCAACGGGGTCAAGTTGGAGGAGTGTGTTGAGTGGAATAAATCTCAGTAATCGTCGAAAAAAAAAAAAAAAAAGTCGAATGACCATAAACAACAATCAAACCAACACTTGTTCCGGGATGACAGGCGTCACATCCGGCGCGGCGGCCGTGCAACTTAGCTGGAGGCGAGCGGCGATGTTGTTTCAGCCAGTGCGACGAAGCAACGGTGGGCAGATGCGCTAGAAGAAGCGAGCACAAAGAAACAAAACACGCAGAATGGACTCATGGAGCTGGAGTAAGACGCAAGATGTCGGCGCAGACAGGCACTAGTCCCAACGTCTCCTCTTTCCTCTCTAGTTTTGCAGGTATGAATACCTACTAGGTAGATAGGTTTTCCTCGCTCTCGCGTGCCGATGGAACCGGGGGGCGCGGCTTTTCTTGCGAGATAAACTTACGTACATATGTACGTACATTGCATCGAATCGTACATGATGAAGAGATGCCCTGCGTGCCCTGCACGATGGTGTGCGTCGGATCGGAAAGTCTGTTGTTGTTTGGCCCCTCTTTCGTCTGTCGCTCTTCCTCATCGTGGCTCCTCTCTTGGGGCTGAAGAGGAGGGAGGGGCCAGGATATTGCGCAGTGTTTGGGGGCCAGCAGGTGCTCCTGGCTCTTGTGGACTCGATCGGACGATGAGGAGGAGGAAGGAGGAGGATGGGGAGAAGCCTGGAGGGGGAGGATACGTGGATCACACTTGACAGGCAGGACCACCAGGAAGTCAATTGCGCTGCACAATAGGACGGCATTCTCGCAAAAAATGGCTTTGCGCCGGCGGGGGCGGGGACAAGACGGTGCAGCTCTTAGGAGCAAAGTCCGGGCGCGGCGGACGATCTTTCTCGTTTTTTTATACACGCACACATGCAAAGTACTTGTAGACTCGAGTAATTGTATACGAATCAATACAGACGAATCAGCAATTGCGGAAGAAGAGCACACATCAAAACAATAATAACAATGGGGGAAAAAAACCATGGCGAGTTGCATGGACAAGCAATGGCAGCCAAAAAAGCCGAGTACAGTCCGCAAGCTCGATAACAACAACAGCTTTCTTTCTCTTGTCTTCCGTCTGTTGTGTTGGTAACCCAGAGTGACATTGGATGACGAGAAATCATAACACAGCCCACCCCTGGCGAGCACGGGCAGAGGGGGAACGTCTAAAGCAACAACGAGCTCCATATCGATATCCAGCCGACGGGCTAAAATGCTCAGAGCCCACTGAACCCACCATCTTATGGGATTGTGCGATACGATGTGATGGAGAGAAGCACGACATGCGGGAACCAAGCGTGGGCTTCCCAGGTCTAGGTCAAGGGCAAGGTCTCGACATCTCTGACGTTTGGTACGGAGTACTGGGTAAGTAAGCCATCACGATGACTTGACCATGGACTGCAACAGCTGCAAGAACCCATGTCCTCAGCTGCTGTTGGCCCGGAGAAATATCATGGTTCAACAACAACATTGGCGAGGGGGGGAAGCCGGACAAGCATGATTTGGAGCGTAAGCCTGGTGGTTTCGGGCAATAAGCAGCACACACTACTACTCCGTACATACAGTGCTGCACAGTCCTTGCGCGCACAGAAACGAAAATCAAGTTGTTGTTGATGAATATTATTCTCCTCTCTTTTTGTCCTTCCTTTTCTTGCCCGTGGCTCCCCTCTTTCGCCTCGGATGCTTGCTTTTCTGGCTTGCCTTTAGCCTCTCTCCCTGCAGACGCCGGAGCAGTGGCTGACGATCAAGACTGGATAGATGATTCTAGAGTAGGCATCTTGTTCCCTAGGTATCCGTAGTCCACAGTAACTCGTCGTCTTCGGCATCAAAGGCATAGACCATGAACAGCCACTGGCCATTGCTCGCTTGAATACGTCTTGAGATTGCATTGTAAACCGCTGAGCAGCGTCACAGAAAGAGTGGGCACGTGCAGCAGACACCCGCCCAAAGCCACCCCGGTCGTCGGCCGTTCCCCTCTCCCCAGTGGTCCATTTTCTCATCTCTTGCCATGCTGGATGCTAGATGCTGGATGCTGGCTGGATTGGTGGACGGAGTGGATGGCTGGCTGGACGCTGGGCTTCGAAAAGCCTGCTGCCGCCTGCGGCTTGCCAACAACCCCTCGTCCCAACTCTCCCGTCAAAGGTACGTACCCAGTCTTGTATCGACCCCTGTCACGCCAAAAATCACACTAAACACAAGGTCGCCAGGAGCAACGCCACCGACAAAGAGCTGCCTTCCTTGTTTGTTTACTTCTTCCCCTCCGCGCACCAATCATCGAGTCCCCGCCTCAACGTCAACTCATACCGCCCGCTGCCCTTAAACAACACTCGACCACATCGACGCATCACAACACAACGTCCCGTTCACCCTCTTGTTGTTTCTCACCACGACCGCCGTCAGGAACGCTATCCCATTACCTGTTGCTGCACTTTGGCGGCATCGCCCTTTTTTGATTTTTTTTGTGTGTGTTGCTGTCGTTTTGCGCTGTTCCCTCCCCCCCTTCAGCTTCATCACCCAGCATCCCCATACTTCGGCTCTGCCCATTCCAGTCATCGACAACCCATACCGAATTACCCTTCGATTATGACCCGAATCGGCATCTGACAGCACACATCCCCGAGAGCCACCCAAGGAGAAAAAAGTCAAACATTCATTCTAGCAGACAAAAGTCTTTCTACCGCATTTTCCCCTTTGTGTATCTTTGCGAATCCGCTCTGAACCTCGCGGCAATTACCCCGGAACGCACCGCAGCAGAGTCTGCTTAACATAGAATTTTCTTTCGAGTATTGATCGCCATTACCACCACGTACTGCGATTGTTTCCCCCAATGCGCTTGCGCAGTCACAACAACATCACAGAAAATGGCGTCTTCTGAGGATCCCGTAAGTTCTGATATACACCGCTGCTGTGATATCGCGTTTCCCGCGACTGACTTTCGCTTTTCCAACAGGTACATCCTTTGCGCATCAGCAAAGGCAGCAGCACTCCAGGATCTCCCCCTCCTACCAAGGCCAGCACTGGCATCCCTCGCCCCCTTTCCGAGCTCTCTCCTTCAGACCTCAGGCGGAACTCACCGAGCTTCAAGCAGCCCTCCAAGGTAAGCGGACTGTGTCTGAGACACAATCCCCGTCCAGAATTTCCACTAATAGCTATCGTATAGAAAATGACCCTCAACACCGACTCCTCTCCATTCCAGTCGTCCCCACTAGAGACTACTACGTCTCCCAGGCTGTTTTGGCAGAAGCGCAACCTGGACTCCATCAGCACCGAGAACAGCGGATTATACGGCGGCGCACGTCACGGCTCGCCTTCGCCAACCCGACGCACTTCCATCGAACGCCTCCAAAGAGCCTCTCGAGTCAAGAACAGCAACATTCTCGCTCTCGAGCAGAAGCAGGAATACGATCCCACAAGAGTCCCCCAAATTGAGCGGCCTCTCGCTAAGCATTCCGGACCCTCATATGACGGAACGACAACAATCATCAATGGCCTACGATCTTCTGATTCTCTGAACAGAGGCATCGGCCACCAGCGCAACAACAGCAGCAGATCGAGCATCCCCATCTTCAGCCCGACAACGAGCCCTACCAAGGGTTCTACACCAATGCAAATCAACCCTGCGAACCCGCCGCGCAGCCCGGGCAAGGACCAAGGGTCTCCTATCAAGTCTTCCCTTTCGAGAAGCAACTTCAAGAGCAGCTTCGACCCCGAGACCGGCACCTGGTCGGCCGACACTTCTTTCGACGATCGCGAGCTTCCTTCTGGAAAGTCGCTTCATCGCCACGCCAAGAGCGTCACCTTCGACGCGGCTCCTCCTCAAATCAACGAATATGAGATGGCCACGCCGGACATTTCTTCCATAGGATCCAACTCGCGCGAGGGCAGCTTCGACTCCATGGATGACGAGGACGATGAGGACGGACACTACCACTTTGGAGATCACGATATGGAGGGTGACAGCTTCGATGCGTCGCTAGAGGACACAGACAAGACTCCCGTCGTCGGTCCTGACGATTGGAGACAGTCTGCTGAGCGTATGGAGGATCCCTTCGATGGAAGCCCCATGCCAGACGCACTTCCTCCTCGTATCGGCCGCACAGAACATACTCGATCTGACTCGTCAACCTCGGATCACCGCCCCCTGCCTCCTCTTCCCGGCATGGGCTCACCCGCCCGTGGTTCGCCCGCCTTCAGTGACTCCCGGTCTTCACCTGGCCTGTCCGCGACAGCGGAGAGAATGGTGGGCGCTCACCGTAGCTTGCCACCGCCGCCCCCGGCAGCTGCCAGCAAGAACGAGATCCAGAGCATTGGCAACGGCAAGATGACTCTCGAAGAGAGACTGAAGCTTATGATGCTCTCAGACGACCACAAGTCTGCCAACGAGCAGCAGAGAGAGCGTCGTCTTCGTCGCGGTGCTCAGCGTGATAGAATCCAGAGCCCCGCTTCCGATACTGAGACAGCCGAGTCCAGCATGCTTTCCGCTGACGCAGACGAAGCCGATGATACCATCGGAGATATCTCTGCTCTCGAGGACTACGAGCTGCCTAGCCGTATCTCCCGTGAGTCCATCATGCGTCGCGTCAATGGTGGCGCCAATGACCAAGGAGGTGACTACTTCTCCTCGCCGGCGCCTAGCTCTAGCCCCGAGCGACCCAGCCCTGAGCGCCGTCTGCCCCTGCCTCTTGACCCGGATGTCCCAATTCCTTCAACGGAAGACTCCATTCTGGATGACATCTCCGAGCTTAGCGACGAGGGTAGTGTCATTATCCACAGAGATGAGGCCTCTGATGTCGACACCGAGTCAATCACAGACTTCTACGCGCGGTCTGACATTGACGAGAACGATGCCGATTCTGCCAGCCATTACTCTGACGGACCGGCTCGCCAGCCCGAGGTCACTCAGGTCGACGAGGACATCCTCACACCTCGTGCTGCTAGCCCCTTCCAGACATTTGACTTGGCCTCAGAGATAAGACCTCTGGAGCTCAAGTCCGACAAGGGTTTCAGCTCGCCCGAGCAACGCGCTGTCTCTCCAGCTGACCTCCCAGTCAGGGAGCTGACACCCGAGACAAAGGTTGAAGAGGTTATCGAGCCTACAAGCGAGCCTCAGGATGAGGTTGTTGAACAGCCTCAGCCCGAACCCGAGGTCGAGAAGGAGCCGTCGCCAGAGATGCCAGTCGATGCACCTGTCGACACTGCCTCTGAGCGCAAGCACAGCCTCCCCGAATTCCACGACGAGGGCAGGGATAACGAGTTCTCCAAGGGCTTGCAGTCGTTCATGCTTCCTCCGCCTCCGGAGCCGTCTGCCGAGGAAGTCGAGGAGCTTCAGCCCCCGCCAAAGATGACGGAGCTCCAGGCTGAAATGCAGCGCCCCGTGACCCCGAAGCATCTCTCCAAGCCTGACTACGACGGCTCCGGCTGGGGTGATCCAGAGGATGAAGAGTATGAGGAAGAGCCCGGTACGCCCGAGTCTGTCATTCATCGACCCATGTCCGATTCTGAATCAGAAATCTTCGACGAGCTTCCCATGGAATCTCCTGCTATCCCGGAGAGGCAGGCAACAATCAAGGCATCTGGATCCAAGTTGAAGACCAGACCTTCCAACACACCCTCTGACATCATTGCCATGAGGGAAGCCCGGCGCCAAGTTAGTCGCGAGGTGCCCGACATTCCAGCCATTCCTGAACGCCACCGCAACAGGCTGTCAAGGGATCTGCAGGGAGAGCCCACTATCCACGACGACGAAGAATTCGTGGACCGCCGCTCGAGCTTCAAGAAGCGCAGTCTCACATTGGATCTTGACTTTGGCCTCAGCCTTGACCAAGATTTCGATCGTGTCATTGAACAACAAAAGGTTGCTTTTTCTCATCTAGTCCCCAAATCTCGCATCGCAAGTGGCAGCACCAGCAGACAAGTGTCCAAGCCGACCGCGACCACGAATAAAATCATTTCACCAGACAGGAAAGTGTCACAGAATGCTAACCAGAAGAACCAGCGCGGATACCTCATGCGCCAGAACACCAAGGTTGTAACAGCGAGCGACAAGGAGTCTTCTGACATGTGGAAGACTCGATCTGCTGGCAACTCCCCCGTTAAGACAGACCGCCCTCAGTCATGGACCGTCGAGCCCTGGAACGGTAGGCCCAGACAGAAGAGCATCAGACGCCGCGCCAACACAAGTGGTCCTGTGCCGCCTATGCCTGGCCAGGAGAGCAATGCTCAAACTTTGAACCCTCTGGCCGAAGAGGACTTGAACCCGGAGCTTGCGACCGAGGAAAGCGGCGAGCGTGGCCGCCTCTTCGTCAAGGTTCTTGGAGTCAAGGATCTCGACCTGCCCATTCCCCGAAGTATGTTCCACCCTTCCAAGCCTCGTCTCCAGATTACTGACAATTGTTTAGCTGAGCGTACCTGGTTCAGCCTGACGCTTGACAATGGTGTCCATTGTGTCACAACCGCCTGGCTTGAGCTTGCTCGCAATGCTCCCGTCGGCCAGGAGTTTGAGCTTGTGGTTCCCAACGACCTGGAGTTCCAGCTGACCCTCAACGTGAAGCTGGAGAAGCCCGCGCCTGCCAAGAAGGTGATCGTGCAGTCTCCTACTAAGGCTAGCAAGCCCAAGACGTCTACCTTTAGCAGGGTGTTCGCGTCTCCCAAGAAGCGGAAGGAGATGGAGTTGCGCCAGCGCGAAGAGGAGGAGCGTGTGGCCGCTGAGCAGCAAAAGGCTGCTCAGGCTAGACAGATGAAGGTCGCGCCTACCGCCTGGGACTTGTTGTCTCCACTCGCGGCTGAGGATGGCAGCTTTGCTCGTTCGTACGTGTGCCTCAAGGAGCACGAGTCGCGCTGTTACGGTCGTCCCTATGTCGTTGACGTGGCTTGCTTCAACGAGTGGGCGACTGAAGAGGCTACCTTCGCCTCCAGCGTCAAGAGCAAGCGTGGTAACACTGCTGTTGTCCGCCGCGCCCCCTACAAGATTGGAAAGTTGGAGCTCCAGTTGCTCTTTGTACCCCGTCCCAAGGGATCCACCGAGGAGGACATGCCCAAGAGCATGAACTCTTGCATCCGAGAGCTTAAGGCTGCGGAGGAGCGCCTTGCTAAGAACTGGGAAGGTCACCTGAGCCAACAGGGTGGCGACTGCCCTGTAAGTCTCTTGCCGTGTCCGATTCATACTGAATACGTGCTAACCTCATCGCAGTACTGGCGCCGACGATACTTCAAGCTTGTTGGCCAGAAGCTCACGGCCTACCACGAGGCTACCCGTCAACCCCGAGCTACTATCAACCTGGCTAATGCTAAGAGGCTGATTGACGACCGGCGTGCCCTGACGGAGCGAGAGACGACCGGCAAGGGCGGCAGACGTCGGCGATCAGCCTTCGCCGAGGAAGAAGAAGGATACATGTTTGTCGAGGAGGGTTTCCGCATCCGCTTCAACAACGGCGAGACCATTGACTTCTACGCCGACACTGCCGAGGACAAGCAAGGCTGGCTGTTGGCTCTGACGGACCTCATTGGTACTGGTCGCGGCGATAGCGAGGACGATGTTGGTGGTTCTCGCAAGCAGGGCAAGTGGTGCGAGCTCATCCTCAAGAGAGAGGAGGCGCTGCGACGGCGGCAAGAGGGTCGACGGGTGCACTCGCGGACGAAGAGCACATTCAACTAATACCCCCTTCTTTTCTTGATGATTTGGCATGATCGGCACGAGTAGGAGACACGAAGTAATGGGGAGGCACGGCATGATCTATGATTCTCTTGGACCTGGAGTTCGTGATCGGATCATCATGTTGTCTTTGGTCCGCTGTTGCGATGGCTTGTGTCTTGTGGACTGCGCGCTTGCCTGAATATCTAATAATTTGGCAGACAGGATGGCGTTTGGGCATGGTTTGGATGGCGATGGCGATGGAGGAAATTCCGGAGATTGAGAGCTTGTTGTTTTAAATTCGCACTCGGCTTCTTTTGAGCATTGTTCTAGGAGTCGGGTAGCCCGTTTGGTTGTACGTATCATGTTGTACTAAAATGGGAGGTTTTTTATCGTTAAACTACCTACTTGGCATTGCAGTCTCGTGTCGTGACATCTATTGCCTAGTCTACTTAGGCCATAATCCGAGGGCAATTGAGTTCACCCTAGGTCTTGGTAAGTTCGTAGTCACCCAGGTGAGGAGCGCATGCATCACGTGCGTCGTGATGTGCATAAAGTTGCTGGACCCTTGCTCCATTGATGTTCTCGTCAGTGGAGGGAAGCCACGGAGGCGCAGCTGGCCGGGGGAGTTTCACCAAGGTATCCATCTGTACCTACCGAAGGTAATGTGCAGCGGCACGAATTGCAGGTGGGTACGTACCCATCCAGAGCAATGGATTGCTGCTCGCTACCTGAATTGCAGTGGGCTGCCAGCAGCAGCAGGCGGGCGGCAGCACCCACTTCGTCTTCCCGTTAGTTCGTTATTTTGGAAGGGCCCGCCAGCAACAGCTCCCAGCTATCTTATTACACCGAATCCTCCCCTTTTGGATCACCAAGAGATCGCAGGTTACGTCGCTTTTCCCTACGCAGCATTGCATATCGTCTGCCTCTTTCTTTACCGACCCCTTCCCCTCCTCCCTCCCGCCACCCGGGTTTTCCAAAACATACATCATCCTCAATGGCGGGCCGCTTTGTGCGAGCGTCGAAATATCGTGGGTCTTTTTTTGACTGTCGCATGCCAACGTGTTGCGCTGGGACGAGCTGACTGCTGACGCCCGATTCCCTCTCGTCTAGGACACGTCTTTGGCAAGCCGACCCGGAAGGAGTTCTGCTACGATAACCTTCACATCAGCCGGAATGCCTGGGATACCAACTTGGTGAAGGTAAGTAAGGGGTTCGCTCCTTTGCTTCTTTTGCCCTCCTGCCGAGACAATTGATGGGGGGCAAGACCGTGGTCGATAGGAGAACACAAGAGAAAGAGGCTGACCAGAAACTCGCAACCTTTAGGCCAACCCCGACTACCTCTCCGTCAATTGGGATGCCGGCGGTGGCGGCGCTTTCGCTGTCATCCCCCTTGGCGAGAAGGGAAAGGTGCCCGACCAGATCCCTCTGTTTCGAGGCCATACTGCCACCGTCTTGGATACCGACTGGTACGCCGATCCCCGCGACGCCGCGACCCGCGCGCACCATCCACCGACGACGGCGAGCGCACGCGACAATCATACTGATGACCACGTGCTAGGAATCCCTTCAACGACCGCGTGATTGCTTCTGGATCTGAGGATGGAAAGGTCTTCCTTTGGCAGGTTCCCGAGAACTTCACCCTCTACACCGATGCCGACGAGCCCGCCGATGTCTCTCCCGTCAGTAAGCTCGCTGGCCACTCGAGGTTCGTCGCCCACGACCTTCTCTTCTCCCACTCCACTTTCTCGACCATGGTGCTGATATGTAGCATACAGAAAGGTCGGTCAGGTCCAGTTCAACCCCGCTGCGGAAAACATTCTCGCGTCCGCATCCGGCGACTTTACGATCAAGCTCTGGGACATCACCACCGGCTCGCCCACCCACACCCTGAAGCACAACGACATCGTCCAGAGTCTGTCGTGGAACGCCAGCGGCTCCATGTTGGTCACGACATCTCGCGACAAGAAGATCCGCGTGTGGGATGTGCGCGCCGAGAAGCCGGTCCACGAGGCCCCTGGCCACCCGGGCGCCAAGAACAGCAGAGCCGTCTGGATGGGCGAGCACAACCGTTTCGCCACGGCTGGTTTCTCGCGCATGAGCGAGCGTCAGCTTGCGCTGTGGGAGCCTGGTCGCAGTGAGCCGATTGGAGGTTTCAGCATGCTGGACTCCATCTCTGGTGTCATCATGCCTTTCTGGGGTCAGTGTTGGAGGTCTACGCTTCGTAAGGGACAGTTGCTAAACTACAGACAGATGACGGATCCAACTGCTTGTATCTTGCTGGCAAGGGGTAAGTAGTTCATTGAGCAGAGTATAGTTCTTGGCGTACTGACAGTTCTGACAGCGACGGCAACATCCGATACTACGAGTACGAGAACGACAAGTTCGAATACCTGAGCGAGTACAAGTCCGCCGAGCCCCAAAGAGGCATTGCTTTCGTTCCCCGTCGTGGCATTAACGTAGGTCGACTTCAGCGCGCGCGCGTGGTGGAATATCTAGAGAGCCATATCTAACGCTGCGTAGGTGCACGAGAACGAGGTCATGAGAGCCTACAAGACGGTCAACGACAGCTACATCGAGCCCATCTCCTTCACTGTTCCCCGCAGAGCCGAGACCTTCCAGTCTGATATCTTCCCCCCTGCCACTGGCCTCAAGCCTGCCGTCAGCGCCAAGGATTGGCTCGATGGCAAGACTGGCATCCCCTCCAAGATCGATTTGGAGAGTGTGTACGAGGGTACCGCCCCGAAGGAGGTTGCCTCTGACTACAAGCCTCCCGTGATCGCCTCAGCTCCTCCTCCGGCTGCAAAGCCTGCGCCGAAGCCCGCCCCCGCTCCGGAGCCTACTCCGGTGGCACGCTCACCCCCTCCCTCGATGAAGGAGCAGCAGGCCTCCATGTCCAACATGGCCAACAAGTTCAAGGATGACGAGCCTGCTGAGCCTGAGGATGAGGACGACGACTCAAGCTTCGAGGAGGTACAAAGACCAGCTCAGCGCGCCGCGGCCCCTGCTGCAGCTCCTGCTCCTGTCCGTGCCGAGCCGGCCAAGATTCCCTCGCCTATCAAGGCCGCCTCCCCTGCTCAAGTCAAGTCGCCTCCCGCACAACAGCCCCCTGTCAAGCCTGCATCTGCCAACTCACCTGCATCCTCGACGCATATTGAGTCATCTCTGGATCAGATCAGACAGATGCTCGAGCAGCAGACCAAGCTCATTGGCAAGCAGAACGACAAGATTAGCAAGCTGTCGGACGAAGTCGAGGGGCTGAAGCGCAAGGTGAACGCCGGCGGGTCTCAGGACCAGAGCGAGCGGATCAGACAATTGGAGCTGGAACTTGAGGCCGCGCGGTCTTAGGGATTCTCCTCTGATGTTTTGTGTGACCTACAGCGTGTAAAGGAAAGGGGGGTTTTGGGGGGAGTGTGCATCTGGAGAAGGAAGAGATGTGATGAAAACGGGGTCTTTGGGATGGATAGCAAGCAGTGATTGTCACAAGCAGAGTTAGTTTGGTGTTATAAGTACCTATTTTGTTCTCTTCCCCCTTGTTCCTTTGGTGCATGCCATGTGAGCGCACCGCTGGCGCTGGTGCGTCGACCAACTAGGGTTGGATGAGATGGCGCACTCGTGGGTTCGGTTGGCATTCACCTAAACAATGTACTCATGGAGGTGGTGAACCACAGAAAGACTCTGGTAACTGTCAGTCCGCCCAGGTGATGGTTTCATCTGGTCCATTGGATGTGGGCTATTCTTGGCACTTTGAGGGACTAGGACATAGGTTCCTGTCGCAAGACGTGTCAGATCCAAGGAAACTTTCTTTTCTCTCTTGTCTAGAGACAGATAGATCAACCTGCTGTGCGCATTTATCTGGGGGCTTCTTTTCATCTAATGTTGTTGTTTTGCTGTGGGAGGTGAACTCTCATGCAAGATGCCCAGACGACGTGTCTAGTTGTGCAGTCATTGTCGCATCTAATGGACAACACTAGATGGTTTGTGAGGAGAGGGGGGATTTGGGGGCTTTAGCATCCCACCAAGGCTGATGGGAGCTTTGACGTCTTTGAACCCCTCCGATCCTTATTGATGTGATGGAGGCTGCAGCCAATGAGAATGTTCTTCAGCCACAGGTAGGACGAGGCTGAGAAAGGGGACCTTCTCTCGGACCCGCTGAAATTTTCAAGATTGTTGCGATAAGGTAGGTAGTCTGCAAGTTTCGGTTGCTGAAGCACTTTTTTTCTGCAACAGTCCTGCAACGATTGTAGCACGACAACAAAGCTACAACCAGCGCTTTCAGTTGCAGTAACGAATCGGGCCTAACCGTCTCCTTTGCAGAGTATTGCAAATTACACTTCTCTAAGCAAGAGCAACGAGCGCAAACCTGAAAGCTCGAATCCCTCGCGAACATGGCCTCGGTCCTCGGAAAGCGCAAGGCGCCCTCTGCGTCGACTACCAAGACGAACAAGTCCACCGCAACAGCATCGGTCAAGACTGCTTCACCGGCATTGAAAAAGAAGAAGAGCGCCGAGGGACTCCAGAAATCTGCCTCCGCCGCAGCAACAGGGACGAAGAAGAAGACGACGGCCACCAAGAAGACCAAGGCGAGAAAGGCTGAGGAGGAGGACGAAGATGAGGAGGATACATCCATGCTAGACGCCCAAGAGATTTTCAGACGGCATTTCGAAGCCCAGTTTAAACCGATTGAGGAGAAGAGCGCGCCGAAGCGGAAGAAGAGCAAGGCCAAGGCCGAAGAGGAGGAGGAGGACAGCGCGAGCGGGAGCGATGAGGAGGCAGGCGAAGGCGAAGAGGACATCTTTGAGGACGAGGGTGCTGACGGCGAGGAGGGTGAGGGTGAGGAGTGGAGTGGTCTCTCTGGCGACGAAGGTAAGTCAACCCGCTGGGCGTAATATCCAGAAATGCTATGGAGAAGACCATTGATTAACGAGAGACTCAACAGAAGACGACTACGACGAGGACAGCGACATCCCGTACGACGACATTGACGAGAACCCCGTCATCGAGGTCGTAGACCACACCAAGTCCAACGCCCCGCCCGTCGTCAGCATGAGCAAGCGCGAACTCAAGGCCTTCATGGTATGCCTCCCCCTCTCCCTTCTCCTGTCCTCACATCTCACTAACCCTCCTCCTCTTAATAGTCCTCCAAACCCCCCTCCCAAACAGACCCCTCCCCAACCTCCCTCACAGCAGCACAACCCCCCGACGACCCAGACGACGAAAACGACAAGTCCATGCTCGTAAACGACCTCGCCCTCCAACGCCTCCTCTCCGAATCCCACCTCCTCGCCCGCCACGCCGTCTCCCCCTTCTCCAACCCCTCCAACGCCGCCTCCAAATCCTTCTCTGAGGGCAAGCTCCGCCAGCGCCAGACGGACCTGCGCAC